GACCCCTTTTCGGATTATTTGAATTTGTTTCCATATCATTCTTCTGAATTCCCTCTCAGGCATATCCAAAACTCACTCCTCCTCCTCTATGAAGGCTTTGTCTGTCTCCAGTTCAAGTGTGTCAGGTCCTTTCTTCTGTTTTTGGACATGATTTGATAAAGTTGTTTCTTATTGGTCATGGTTATTGTTTTATTATTATTATTATTGTTATTAATGTGGTAAATCATTTTCATCTGTAAATCATAGCAAATGTTGTTGGGTATCATCTAAATAGTGCAGTATTATGTTGTAGCTTAGCTATATGGTCATGATTGCTATTTCTTTTTATGGGACGTAGGGAGAATAAGTTCCCATCTCCAGGAGGAATGTGTAGTCAACAAGAACTCTACATGCGTGGGTGCAGTGTACCGGCTAATTTTTATTGGGATCTCACGCCAGGGCGGGATGACTTGGGGCAGGTGGAAGTGATATCGCCTCTGGCCCTTCTGGGAGACACAGCTGTCCAAGCGGGCCGGCCCTGGTCCCGCTCTCTAAACTCTGCAGTCACAGGAGTTACCCGCAGTCTCCGCAGGAAAGAGTCCCAAAATACTCACTTTTCTTCATCCTTGTTAGTGCAGTTTCTCAAAAATGTGAGCCCAGGAGAGACTATGATAGTCCAGAAGCTGTGGGACTGGTATATGAATGCCCCCTTTGTGAGATGCCACTGATAGCTAAGAGTAGGGGCAGGGAGCTTAGCTGCAGAGAAAGTTGGGGCATGATGGGTGACATCAAGAAGCCGCCACAGCCTTTCTTACACCCTCCAGAATTCCTCACACTCTCTGTGCATGGGTGAGCTGCACCGGGCTGATTTTTATTGGGGTCTCAAGCCAGGGCGGGGAGATTTGGGGTGGGACCCATAGAAACTTTTGATATGTCAAGTCAAAGTTTGAATTGTTTCTTTAGTTCTTTCAGCTTGAGAAATGCTGAACATGTTCTTTCCTTTTCTTTGTTGTTGTTTTTTTTAAGTTTTTACTGAGAATTGAGTGAAAGTTTACAGGGCAGATCATCAGTTTTATATTCAACAAATCATACACTTTGTTTCGTTATAATAATTATAATTCCCTCCATGTACCATCAGTTAACAGTATTTCTCTTTATTCATTTTAGCTCATTTTTAAAAAACACTCGGGCATATATAATAATTTAAACAACCAAAGCGCACATTCTACAAGCCTACCTCCTGGCCACCAGCTCTCAGTTCCTCTCTTTCCATGAATCTAGAGTCCTCAGCTGCTCCCTCTCTCCATGTCCCCATCTCTGCATCCATCTATGGGGTTGCTGCTTCTCTGGATAGGTTCCCACATTCTGCATGTGCTCTTCTCTCTTGATGGTCCTAGGGTCCTTTGTTTCTGGACTGTAAGATTAACTACTCCCCTGTTTTTGTTACAAAACTTCTATCTTTACAATTGTGACAGTCGCATTTAGTCATGATAACAATTACTCACTACTGAATCATAACAATCTTATCCTCATTTCCTTTCACCAGACTCATCTAGACAACATGAAAATTATTCAGTGGGGCCTCCATCTTCCCCCGCACACTTAAACTAAATTCCCTCTTGAAAACTTGTAAGCCAGTCACTTTGTAGCTTTATCGCCCCCTCATTTTAGGTAGCCAATGTCTATGTTACCCGTTCCTATCTATCCTGTATACAGAGGGGATAGCATGAATACTTGATGTGAAGACTCCTTCCCTCTCTGTTGGTATTTTGAGGCACTGCCTCCATGAGTATAGGTCAAGTTCATCAAATTATAGCAATTTACCCTTATTTCCTTTATAAAAAAAATATTATTTATTTTTGGTAACTTTCCTCTAGTCAAGTTCTGATTATCAAGCCATTGAGGCTAGGTCAAATGGGTACCATCTACCAGTTTGGGTGTTCTTGTGCATCTCCCCTCACTTCTTATCAGCTGGATGTTTCACTCACAGCTATAGCCTTATGTTCTTGTCCATGGGCTCAGGCATCACTGGGTCTTGCCATATTTTGGACCAGCCAGCCCTTCATCTTCTCTCTCTCATCTCAAGGTCGATGGGAGGGAGTCTATGGAATGTGGTTGAACTCAGACCATTTCTTCATTGCTACCTTTCTCCCTCTTCCACTTCCCAATAGACCAATGTAGTCGCCAACAAGCTTACATGTCTGCTAATGTGTTCCCTTTTAGTTTCAGTCTCAGAGGGGAATTTGTCCTGAAGGAACTTGATTGCTTGCCTTGATGGCTTCCTGGCAAACAACTTGCTTATTTTTGTAGTAGCCAATCACTACCATTTTTGTTTTGGTTTTTCCTGCTGACCTTTCTTTGAAGATGTATATTCTGTCGCCCTAGCTGTTCCAGTCTGGTCTGCTTGTCCTTTCTAGTGAGAATGTTCCCTCTACCTTAGAAGGTTCAGGATGGAGCTCAGGATTCCACCTAAGGTCCTATACTCTGCAAAGGCTCCATAAGAGGTCTATTTCACTGGGCATGTTCTAGAACCCCTTTTAGATATTCCAATCAACTATAGGCTGAAGACGGGCTTACAAGTTTACTGTAATCCTGTTTCCTAACATGCCTTCCTATTCCACTCAAGTGTCTATTTTACAATAGTAAACAAGGGAAACCAACAATCATAAGACAGTCAAGCACCTTAGTATTATTTCCCCTCTTCAGACTAAGCCTCGATACCCGTATCACAAAGCCCTGTTGTTCCAAGGTTGAGCATGCATCAGTATTTACCTCTGTTCAATTTAGCCGAAGCAAAACTGTCTCAGTGTTCCCCTATCTACCTCGTTCTTCTACCCACTCCACCCTGTTTTGTTTTTTTAATGCCAGATTTTTACACATTTCAATTTGTACTTTACTTTATCTTTTCTAGCTTTTCTTTGAATTCTTCTGTCCTGCTCCTTTACTTCATCATTTCTTCCAAGTGCTTCAGTTTTTCTCAAGAGCAAGTTTCAGTCTCTTGTGATAGCCACTTTGGTCTTTTCTTTCTTTCTTATCTTTTTAATGATAAGATGTATGATGTTCCTGATGTCATCCCACAACTTCTTTGGTCTTCAGTCATGTGTTCTTGAGAAGGTCTCTAAATTCAGGTGGGATATAGTAAAGGACAAGGAGCTCTGGTAGCATAGTGGTTACGAATTGGGCTGCTAACCTCAAGGTCGGCAGTTCGAAACTACCAGCTATTCCACAAGAGAAAGATGAGGCTTTCTGCTCCCATAAAGATCTACAGCCTCGGAAACCCAGTACAGGGTCACTATGAGTCAGAGCCGATTCCACGGTACTTACCAACAACAACATAGTAAAGGACATATTTTGGTTCTTGCGAACTTGTTTTAATTTTCTTCAGCCTCAGCCTGAACTTGCATATGAGCAATTGATGGTTTGGCCCTTACCTTGTTTTGGCTGATGATACTCAACTTCTTCACTGCCTCTTTCCACAGATGTAGTCAACTTGATTCCACACCACTTATGTAGTTGAACAAAAGGATTTTGCAATGAAAAATTCTTTAATATGATTTTTTTGCCTTAAAAAATTCTATAATATGATCTCCAGTGTCATTTCTATTACCATGGCCATATTTTGCAACTACTGATCCTTCCTCTTTATTCCCAACGTTCACATTTCAATGACCAGTCTATTCCATATTTTGATTATTATAGATGTTTGCAGCTGTTGCTTCTCATTTTGGGTTGTGTCATCAGCAAATGAAGGTCCTGAGGAAAGCTTTGCTCCATTGATGTCATTATGGCCAACTCTATTTTGAGGAGGCAGCTTTTCCCCTGTCATATTTTGAATGCTTCATCTTCTGGCACTACAGCAGACAAGATTTCACTTCTGTTCATAAGGTTATCAGTAGATAACAATTTAGAAATGGTCTGCCTTGTTCTGTCTTAGTCTGAAGTCTCAGGTGAAACCTCTCCACCAACTGTAACCCTGCTGGTATTTAAAATACAGGAGGCACAATTTTCAGCATCTCAGTTACACACAAGTCACTATAGTACAACAAAATGACAAATAAGTGGTGGCAGTGAGTGGTATATTTCTGTTTTTGTTCACTTTTCTGTATATGTTGTTGTTAAGTGCCGCTGAGTCAGTTCTGACTCATAGCGGCCCTTTATAGGATTTCCAAGTAGGGGCTGGTGAGTTTGAACTGCTGACTTTGAGGTTCAAATTGACCCTGAAGGTGAGTGCTTATCCTACCATGCCACACCAGGATTCCTTTCTCTATATAAAAAGGTTTGGTAAAAATAAATCTAGTAAAGATGTCATATCCTGCATTTATTTCCTCAAATAATGAAATTAATGCATTTAGTTTTTTTATTTCTAGTTTACTTTTCTAGTTTCAACACACACAAACTTTTCTTACCTCCATCATATTCTGTAAAACCCAGGCCAATCTCAAAGAAACATGCTGGGTTGTAAAAGTGAAAAAACTGGCTGCTAAAAGTCGTTTACTTCTAGTAACAAAATGAAGCAGTCGGCAGGAACTGTGAATAAGCTATTTTGGAAAAAAAAGAGAGAGATTTTAGGAAACTGCACTTTATGGAATTTGCTGTTTCCGTATTAATTGTCTATACACACATAGCAATAACAAAGTTATTTAATATTGTAGTGGGTTGAATGGTAGATTCCCAAAAGTTATGTCCAACCTGATCCTATAAATGTAATCTTATTTGGAAAAGGGGTCTTTGCAGATGTAATTAACTTACAGATCTCAAGAGAAAATCATACTGGTTTAAATCTGAAACCCACTGTCTTGATTCCAATTCATTATGACCACATTTACAACAGAACTAAATGCTGCTGGTCTTATCTCATCCTCACTATCACTGCCATACTTGGGATTATTGTTGTAATCACTGTGTCAGTCTATTTCAGTGAAGGTATTCCTCATTTCCTTAGACCCTCTTCCATGCAAGATGTCCTTTTCCAGGGACTGATCCCTCCTAATAGTATGGCCAAAGTTAATGAGATGAAGTCTTGCCGTCTTCACTTCTAAGGAATGATCTGGCTATAGTATTTCAAAGGTAGAACTGAGAATTGAGAATCCAGAAATAAATCTATCAACCTCTTGTCAGCTGCTCTTTGACAAAGGGCAAATGGGGAAGAGATAGTCTCTTCAATAGATGGTGCCGGAAAGTTCAAAATCCATTTGCAGAAGAATGAAACAGACCCATATTGTACACCATACAAAAATGAATTCACAGTGGATTAAAGACTTAAAAGTAAAACCTTGAACTATAATGACTAGCAATGAAAAACCATGGACAAACGTAGGGACTGTGACTCATGGCATAAATACACTATCAAACATAACTGAACATACATAAACAGCAAAAGACAAAATAGATGACTGGACTTCCTAGAAATTAGACACTTATATGCACCCAAAATTTCACCAAAGGAGTGAAAAGAGAAACCACAGGCTGGGAACTTTTTTTTTTTTTTGGTAATGATGTATCAAACAAAGGACTAATCCCTAAAATTTATAGAAAACTTCAACGCTTCAATAAGAAAAAGACAAATAATCCAATTAAAAAATGTGAGGATGACATGAACAGACACTTCACCAAAAAAAAACAAAACCATTCAGGTAGTCAACAAATATATAAAGAAATCCTTGTGTTCATTAGCCACTGGTGGCAGTGGTGGCGGGCCATGGAGTCAGTTCCAATTCATAGTGACTCTGCCTAAGGTTTCTGAGGCTGTAAATCTTTACAGGAGCAGAAAGGCTCAACTTTTTCCCATGGAACGGCTGGTAGTTTCGAACTGCTGACCTTGGAGTTAACAGCCCGACTCATAATCACTGTGCTACCAGATGCAAACCAAAACAACAATAAGGTAACATCTTACCCCAGCATTAACAGCCAAATTTAAAAAAGAAAACAACAAATGTTATCAAGAATGTGGAGAGACTAGGATCCTCCTACACTGCTGGTGGGACTGTTAAAATGGTGCAACTACTGTGGAAAATGGTATGGCACTTACTCAAAAAGTTGGAAATAGAAATCCCATATGACCCAGCAATCCTTCTACTTGTTATATATCCCGAAGAAATAAGAGCCATGACACAAACAGATATATGCACACCCATGTTCATCACTGCACTATTCACAACAGCAAAAAGATGGAAACAATCTAAATGCCCATCAAGGGAAAAATGAATAAACAAGCTTTGGTACATGCATACAATGAATATTACACAATACTGAAGAATAAAGGTGAATCATAGCATGGAAAAAACTGGAGGACATTATGCTGAGTGAAATTAGTCCATCACAAAAGGACAAATATTGCATGTGACCACTATTGTAAAAGCTCAACGAAAGATTTTCATGCTAAAAGAAATTCTGTGATTATTAGCAAGGAAAGAAAGAAAGGGAAAATTATTCACTAGGTTGACGGTAGACATATGTTAACTTGGGTGACAGAGAAAGCAATATATAACAAGAGGGAGGTTAGCAGAAAAATGATCAAGATAGGGGAAGGCACAGGGAGAAGTACAAGAGTTAATGGGAATAGAGGGCAAATACTGTTATTGACACAATCCTACAATGACAGCTATCTACAGGTAAATGCATGAACAGATATACAGGATATAAGGGTATGAAAGGGAGAGTGGAAGAATACCCATAGGTATTTACGTTTGCTACAAACATCCACAAATGTGGTACAACATACAAATAATAAAATTATGAAGACTTCTTAGACATTACCAAACACCTTGAGGGAATGAGTTGCTGGACCACAGTCTTAGGAGACACCACAATCAACTGACATAGCATAGTCTACAAAGACAATGTTTTATATCCTACTTTTGTGATCAGTAGCTGAAATCTTAAAAGCTCATGAGTGGCCGCCTAAGGTGCAACTATTAGTCTATCCCTGTGCAGAGAAAAGAAGAGTGATGAAAACTGAAGATGCTTAGAGTCAATTAGCCCAGTTGATAAATGGAACACTTGAACATCAGTCTCCAGGATCCTGAGACCAGAAGAACACTTGCAGCTACCACTACCAAGTGTTCTGATAGGGATCACATTAGAATGTCCCGGATAGAGTCAGAAAAAATGTAGAACAAAAGTCAAACTATAAAAAAAAAGACGAGACTATGGTTCTTGGTCACACCTTCAGGTCTGGAACTGAACTCACCCCACGGCTCAATTTCTAGCCAAGCAGTAGACAGATGTAAGGGAGGCCGGGGGTGGGGGGGGGGAGGGGGGAGCTGGGGAGACACAATACTAGTAAAGTGTGCACACTATGGATGCAGTGGTAAGACATTCAAGATCAAAAGGGCAGCATTAACCTAAGGACAGAATTCAGAAGGGTTGGAAAAGAAAGTTGAATGAAAAGAAGAATCATAGGGAGGAAGTGGGATAACTGATGTTATATGGAAGGGACTGCAATCTCTGAAAAGAAGTGTATCATTTGTCGGATGTAAAACTGATGATCTGCTCTGTAAACCTTCACTCAATTCACAATAAAAAATTTAAAAAAAATTTTTCTCTCTTTTTTTTTAATTTAAGGTTTTTATTGTGGAATGAGCAAAAGTTTACAGGGCACATCATCAGCTTCACATTCAACAATTTATATAACTTGCTTCATTACATTGATTATAATCACCCCCCCAATACCATCAGTTAAAAGTATTTCTCTCTATCCATTTTAGCTCTTTAAAAAACACACAAACAGCCCTGACCAGGCGGCTCAGGTAGGGCAATCTCGGGAAAAAGGGGCGGAATCGCACATAGGAAACATCTGTCTAGCATTCAGACAGCCTTTGAACAAACATAAGATCTTATATTTCAACATTCTGAACTCGTTTTTTTAAAAGATCAAATTACTGAGGAATCACAGGCATTTTGAGCTTTGCCTGCCTGCACGCAGCTCCCGCTTCCGCGCCCACACCGGCAAGTGCCTCTGCCCCCTGCAGGCCTTGGAATGCAAGGCTAGAGCAACCTCACTTAGAAGGCTGCATTTCCAGAGAAAAGGAAGCATAAACTAACAAAGCCAAACAAATAGAGAGGGATATT